GAAGAATTCATGGAGTGATTAGTAAAAAAAAAAAAAAAAAAAGTAAAAATAAATAAGTATTTATTTTTATTTTTGCCGACGTTTTGGCTCAAAGTTCAGGCCTTCGTCAGGGCTAACAAAATTAAAAAAACATTAAACATAAATGAAGAACTAAATGTATTCATGATAATTGAAATCAAACTATAAATAAATATATATATATATATATATATATATATATATATATCTATTATTTACCCTCCTCAATCTCAAATGTACTTTGGCCTTTTTACTTTCGTACCACGCCCTGATGATGAACCATATATTTGGGTTGAAACGTCGGCACTAATAAAAACTTAATGACTGCGTCCTGAATATTTATCACCCAAAAAATAAATATGCTTCTTTTAAATTTTGTTTTTATCATTATGTTTTTTACTGATCACCCCAACTAGTCTTCTCTTCAGTTTTAAGATTTTTATCGCCTACGTTACAATCCAATATTATTACACAACAGATAATATTATATCTCTGATGTACCCATGCATCCATCACTATTTAACATTATTAGCTATTATCTTTTTTCAGGCTTGATGATGAACCCAAAAGATTGGGTTGAAACGTTGACAATAAAAAATCTTGAACACTTTTTTTGGGGGGATTTTCACCACTTTTAGTCTTAAATCAAGAAACTTTCTTGTGGATTTGTGAGAATTTGAGTTAACCAGTAGCAGCTTAGTACATAAAAGCAAAATTCAAGTTGGTAGGAACCACGCAAGAGTGATCATCGCACACCAACTCCGTGCCAGAGCAACAACTAACATAAGTCGGAAAGCATATGGCATCCTGAATCATGTATATAGTAATTTTTATATAAGAAATTATTATTCTCTCCTTGCCCATTGGTCCAATTTAATAAACACCCAATCTTAATTTATAGTGTTATTTTCAATGTTAAAAAAATAGTATGAAAATAAAATAAAATTTATTTATAAAAACATTAAACATTAATAAAGAACTAAAATTCATTCCTGATACTTGAAATAAAATTATATATGTATAAAAAAAAATTATATTTACCCTCTCCAATCTCAAATTCTTTCCTTTTTCATTGAGTGTTTGATCATTGACAAACCTTATTCTAATATAAGACGTACTGAGACAAATTAGGGAAGTAGTTTTACTCTTGATATATTTTTTTTATTTTAAAATGTAAATGACTGGTACGTTGTAGAATCTATAATGTATTATTTACATAATTTTAGATGCTGAGGAGGGCGACAAAGTATCTCCGAAATATACAAATAAAAATAAAACATAATAACGATATTAACAAAAGGTGGTTGTTTATTAAATAGGATCTATGGGCAAGAAAAAAAGTAAAAGTAAGATAGGCAAAAAAAAAAAATAAAATAAAACTACTCGCTTGAGAAATATTTTCTGATTTTTATATTTTCATGAGTGTTGAGTTCAAATCTGAAGTCCGAAAAATTCTATCAGGCACTGTTTTTGTGAAAATGGAGGTTTTTTTGAAAAAAACTGAAATAGTATATAAATAAAAAATAAAATAAAAATAAATACTTCGTTAATTAATTTATTTATTTTCTTGTGAAAATAATAATAATATGTAAAATATTTAGTCCTGAACATAATACAACGTTATGGCTAGTCAATGTGTATTTTTTCTTCCTTTTATAGTATTCATCAGCTGTTTTCCGTTCTGGTGTTCAACAGCACAAGCATCTTCTCGTTTACCTTACCTCTTCTCCATTAGGACTTTCATCTTGATGAAACCGTTTTCCGTGTTCATCTGAAAAAGCTCCCAAGTTGGGAAGGATGAAATCTAATTGAGAATGCAAAACAATAATCTATAATGACATGTTGTATGTAATCCATGGCCTTATATGATAAAAGCAATTTTAACAATGTCTTTTTAATATGTTGCTCTTTGGTAGTCCTAAAATTATTTGCACACGTTTTCAAACGTAGACTCTTGTTTTTCTTTCATTTAATTCGTTGAATTCCAGGCCATTTAATAGAACACGGATGTGTGACCAATAATTCTTGAAGCCTGAGACATGAGCTCTAGGAATTTTTCCATGTTGTAATACATTGTAATAGTATCAATTTCAAATATTTATTTCTGTTTTAGCTGTAGTTTTTTATGTTTAAAATGTCCAAAATATCGAATACACATGATTCTTTGACCAAAACACAAATTTGACATGAAATGGTGCTTGATTGAAATTTTATGCCTTTGGATTCGTATTCAGTATACCTCAACACATATAAAAACAACATTTCTGTTAAATGAAGGTTTTTGGCGCAGAACAATGTAATTACTGAAGAAAGGCAAATACCATGAACTAATAAAAAAATATTATTGTTCTTAATTTAGAATACCCAACTTGTCAGCCTTCTGCTGTTGGTAACCAGATCCAACCTGCATTGGAAAATATTTCCTAAACTACACCAATTAATATTAAGGAACACAATAAATGTTATAAAAGCACTGTATTTCAGAATTTCTCCTATTCCCATGAAAACACTACGACTTTTTGATTTTCTAAAACATTTTTTTTTTTTTTAGACTTATTTATTGAAAAATATTACAATCTGTCTCTAGGACATTTATAATAGAGTTCACAGATCACATTCACACTCTATGTACAACAAATAAAATAAATTATACAGAAAAATAATATATACAATAAATAAGAATAAAATAAAAAAATAAAAAAAACACATACACACCTATATCTAATACAGTTAATGCACGAAAATAGAAAATTCACTAAACCCATATTAAAATGGAAATGAGTGATGCGATGGTAACAGCTGATTTCTGCAACTTGTTTCTGAAAGGGAACAAAGCAAACAAATCTATTTACAAGTTTTGTTTCACTCTTCCAGAGGCCATTTTAAGATCCCTGGAGTCAAAAGATGTATCGATTTTTAAAATTTGGCTTTCATTTAGACCGAAGACTAACTTGGAACCCGCATACTAGACTCAAAAGACAAGAACTCAACCGACGATACGGCCAACTATACCGACTACTAAGCAGAAAATCTAAACTTTCCATTGAAAACAAGCTACTGATCTACAAGACAATACTGAAACCTATTTGGACTTACGGACTAGAACTGTGGGGATCAGCAAAATTTTCTAACATCAAGCGCATCCAATCCTTCCAGTCTAAAGTCCTTCGAACAATAGTCGATGCTCCTTTCTATGTATCCAACAAAACCCTACATCATGACCTTAACATCCCATTTGTCCTAGACCTTATCCCAGAAAAATTCTCCAAATTTCACCAGAACCTTACTTACCACCCAAATCCTCTTGCACAATCCCTATCAAGCATCTCCCATCCCTATAATCCTCCAAGAAGGTTGAAACGGCAGTGGCCTCGCGACCTTTTGTAGATTATATAAATTGGAGTTCTGGCAATGGCCAGATTCTTCACTCAAGACATGTGTGTATGTGGCTAGTGCTCTCGACCAATCTCCGCTGGCTTTAGTACCAGTGACGCGGTTGGGAGAGTAGCCCAGGGTTCTCCTGGAGTTCCCTCGCCTGATTGTATATAGGTATGCATGTGTTTTTTTTTTTTTCCCTTAGTTTTAATTTTCTTATTTTTTAGGTTATTTTATTTTATTGTCTATTGTATATACTTTTGATTATTATTTTGTTCTATTTATTTTATTTTTTTGTACATATGGTGTGAATGTCATCCTACCTCACTATAACCAATGTCCAAAAACAGACAGATTGTTATAATACTCAATAAAGAAATTTAAATAAAGGAAAAATACGAAATTCATTTATATTTAATCTTTTTTTTTTCTCCCAAAAAATATCTTAAATATTTATGGTAAGAAGCGTTGTAAAAATGTTGTTTTTGTCAAATGGTAAAAGGTAATTGAACAATGTCTAGAATGATGCAGATATACGGTATCATGGCCGCATACTTCAGGTAGCCGAGAGGGGTGATGCCCCTCCCCCTCAATAAAAATGTTGAGGGAGACGAAAATATCGTCCCCACCAATAATTTCAGGTGAAAAAAATTAAAATTAATAATAGATAAGCTACATGAATGAATAAAGGTGTGATTTAAAATCCATTACGAAAAACCGACTAGCTGGCTGGGTACTTAGAATTAAGTATGTAACTATTTTTTGATACCTAAATGTTACCTTTATTTAAATTGTCATTTATATATGATTATTTATGATTCAATCGCCCCTGGATTTTCACGTGATACTCTTATCCCATTTTTCGCGGCAAACTAGTCGGACTCTGAATAACGTTGTATTTTTATTTGAGGTTTTTCACACTAAGAAATCAAAGATATTTTCTCACTTTTTTACAGTATTCATATTTAGCTGAAATAACTCTAGAAATGTTCCAATATTATGAAGGCTGTCTCCTCTTAGCCCTGTGATTAATCTAAAAAAAAATATGTTATATATTCACTTGTATATTTTTAGATATTTTCAAGTATATATAATAAGTAAAATAATAAAATCCTGACAACTATAAAAAATTATATCAAATTAATTTTAAATAATCAATATTATATTTTTTCGTTTTACAATAATTATGTTGAATTATTACACATACTAAAAACTCCCGCTAATTTTTTTTTTTTTTTGTTCATCGATCTCCCTCTATAATCAAAACCGAAAGTCTGGGCCTATATACGACGTATCATCGCATTTTGAGTCTGTCATTTTCTTTTCATGCTTTGATGATTTAATATTTACAATTTTTGCCAGAATGTTTATAATTCAGAATTTATTTTGACCGTAGACAAAGGGTACTCGCTCTCAAATGGCCGATAATGATAACCCTCCTCATTTTCAAAAAATGCGGTGAGATAAGGTTGTGTTTATTTACAATATATGCCCTATCAGCCGGCACAGTTGTTGTATCTCCAGCTGTTCGGGAGCCATCGGTCTTCCTCGGCCATCGAGAGAGGGGTGGTACATGGAGTCTTCAGGAGTACCAGTTCATAGTGCCTCAAGCCGCAGCATGGGGAGTATCGTCCAGGTGCGTACGGTGTTTTTGATAGCTTATCAGTAACAACTTTAAAAAATAACTTAACATTTTCAATTTACATAAAGTAAATAACAGCTGACAAAATCAAGTTTTTTTTAATATATATCTAGTGATGGCATTCAGTACAAATATAGTTTATTCTTTATTATTTATTATTTCAATTGAGAGATGCAGAATATTTCAACCTTCTCTCGACTGTATAGTCAAAGTATTTAATAATTGAAGGAGATTCATCGTCCTACTTCTTTTTAGACTTCTATGACTTTTTTTTCATCAAACACTTGTAACTATTCAAAGTTTAATTTAAATCCGTTACATAAATATCTTTGAGCATTTATAAGGTTAAATTATATTGTTAATGTCAATTGTCAGTACTAATAAAGGGTTTTGATCTGTGCGGTTTCAAAGTGACCAAGACTCTAAACGATTTTTAAAATTTTAATTCTATCAGATAATCATTATTAATCCATCATTTAAATAAATAAAGACTGACAAAATCATGTTATTTTTAACATTCAATGTTTAACAGAGATTAATTCGTAACTGTCGCTTACTGACGGCAATGGGTACAAATGTAGTTTGTTTATTCTGTCAAAATTTATAAAGTTAGTCTTGCTGATCATTTCAACCTTCCTTTGACCGTACAGTCAATATATTTAATTTATCACGTTCTGCTTCTTTCAAGACTTCTATGACGTTTTATTTTTATTCTATTTTCTTTTTAAACATTTATTTCTAATAAAAAGTTTTATATACGTTTTCTCATGAATATCTACGAGTTTTGTTCAGGATGAATTATAATGTGATTGTCAATTGTAAATGATACTGAATGGGTTTAATTTAATAAAAATATTGAGGTAATTATAATTATGAAATTTCTTCAAAATCATAATTCTTTCAGGTAATCATATCATCAATGTATCATTTAAATATTAATTCGAATGACTTTAAAATACCTCTTTCCTTAATAGTCTACCAACCCCATCAGAACTATGACGTGGTTCATCTTCAATCTCAGTGTCAAACACATCATATCACACGTATCCTCGAATTCTTTGATAGTTGGAGTCCATATACATTAAATCGCTTTATTTCAGCAACTGAAATATAATTATATAAACGGTTATAATGTAAATTATTATACAACAAAAATATTTCTGTCATTGTTAATTAATATTTCAATGGAACTTGTGTTTGAAAAGATAAATTATGCTATTACTTATCTTTTTTTAAAAATAGGTTATAACAATAAATTTAATTTAATATTTTTAATATATTTAATAAATTTAATAAAATAGGTTTTATCGATGTTTTGATGGCAATGTCAAAAAAGCTATTTATCATAAAAGAAACATACGTTTTATTAATAATTTATTTTTTCACAACCTAGCTGAAATTATAAATTAATTAGTTTTTAAAAATACACTACATTAAGTGAGAATATCAATTCCCTTTTAAATAACAACACAAATTCAATCTGTTATAATCATAAATTGATTTATTTTGCTTTTTTTGGAGAGGGACAATTTTTTTGCAAACGACTAACAGGTTTGAAATAAAAATTTCAGTCAAAACAATAAAAAATAAACATTTTTATATATATTTATTCGAATGTATTATCATCTTATTCGTGGATATATATATATTATAATTTAAAATTTATTAATGAAAATTTGTATTTATTTTTTTATTTTTAACAGGTTTATATTAATCATACAAATGGTATAAAAAATTAAATTGGTAATTTATTAGTAATATAGTACTGAAAAATAGTTTTAAATATGCACACGCTCAGAGCCCTAATGCCTGTTGCCCTTAAAGATAGAAGCTTATGTTATTATTAATTTAACAAAGTTTTTTTTAATGTAATAAATATTATTCTTGAAATACTTAAGAACTCCAAAAAGTTTTACTTAATTTTTTGCAGCATATAAAATCAACACTGTAGGTGGTAAAACTCTTTAATTCCCTCATACTTGGAGTGGTGGAACTGGCTGATAAAACATATAGAATATTACATATAAAGTATATATAATATAATGTATAGCATATAGCATGTATACTATATTCCCTAAGTTATTATTTTATAGTTTTTAGATTTACATTATTATATTTTATATAAATATATATAAAAATATATATAAAGTATATTTTTATTGTATTGTTTAAATTATTTGTATGTAATCAAGGAATAATCATATCGATTGTATAATTAATTTGATTTCTAATATTTCAACTTTTTAATAAATTATTTATAATCTATATAATGGACATAGAGTATAGTCGTATATTATATGTATTTATATAATTTATAGAAAATTACTATCTGGAACACTATAAATCACTAATTAGAATAGTTATAATTGTTGCATTTGGTAATTTTTTAGATTTTATAAAAAAGGTCATTGTAAGATTTTTAAACGATACAATAATTTAAAATTTTAAACACGTACATAAGAGAACAACATCATATCTTTCCGTTGTCTTTGAAAATTGTTTTGGGAAATGCTCTTGTCTTGTTTATAATTCTCTTGGGATCCTATTCTCTAATTTCACGCCTTTTTAGATTTGTTAAAATTAAACATAAATATTTAAACTTCGTTGAGTGAAAATATTTATAAGACGATATTTACAAATAACCTGGTAAAAATCACTTTCTTTTAAAGAATGTTTTTAAAGCTAAAGTTATACTTTAGGTCATTGATTCCATCAATTAATTAAATTATAATAATTTGTTTAATCTTAATAATTAATGATTTTACTAATCCAATTTAATTTTATATTCCTTTATTTTAGAAATCAGAATATCATTAAAGTATTGAGGAAAAAAAAGTTTTTATTTCGATTTCGACATTAAAGTTTCATTTAATAATTTTTTTTTTCTTGAAATATAAAAAAAAAATGTTCGAATTTATTTCTTTGGCAAGATACCACATTTTTTTCCAGTATCACTACATTGTATTTTTCTAAGTTGATTTAGTCAGATTAAAGTTAATTTATGATATGAATAATCGTTTAATAAACCTGTGTTGAATTTTTTCTTATTTTCAGTTGTTTAAACTGTTTGAGTATGTATGCAAGTATTGTACTTCTGGAACCACTGAACAATTGAAACAAATAATATGGGATATGAAAAAATAATTATATTATTAAAAGATTTTTTTTAAATGTATTATTTTCAAAGAAAAAAAATAATAAGACAATATAGGTCACCATCTTACGTAGGATATATCGCGGATAAAAATTAATTAGGCGTACATTTTTTTGTATCAAGGGAATAAAAAGATACATATGTCCACTTGCCCTAACATCCTCTTATATTTTTATATTATTAATTTATTTTTAGTAAAATATTTATATTATAATTCGATATATTCGCAATTATTTTGATTTGCAAGCAATACGTATTCTTGTAAAAATATTCTGAATTATAATAAAGTTGAATAATATGATTCGAATTCGCGAACTAATTGCAATTTAAGATATTTATTAATTAATATTTTTTTAGTTTTGAAAAATTAAGTCTCAGTTACCTTTCTCTTTAACTATTGTTAAATCTGCTGTATATCTATGTGAAAAAAAATCACTGATAAAACATAATCCATTGCCTGTGATTTTCTCCATGAATGAGCTATACGATCCATCGGTTCGAAAGAAAGCGAACTGTTAAGAAAATTGTCCAGTCAAACATCACGACATTGCACTAGTTACTTTCAATACACGGTGTGTCAGCTCTTCATGGACAAACATATCATTTGATTATTAATTATTAATTTAATTAGGCTGTTATTTTTAACAGAATAACATAATAGGTCTAAAATATACTATTATTATAGATGATATTTCTCACAATGAGTAGCAGTTAAAATCATAAACATATAAATACTAATAAATTAAACAAAGTTAAGTAATTATTTATTTTTACAAAGACGTATCATGCGATTTTTAATAACAAAATTAAAACTTATATATAAATTGACAATTTGAAACTATAAAAGATATGTTTATCTATCATACTAAAATTTTCTGATAAAGTAATTTTGATAAGATGTTTTTGAAAATTTACAAATAACTATGTCAGTTTTGTTGTGATTTACCATTTGTTATATGGTTAAATATTTATTTATATATATTTAACTTTTAAATTATATAAATATTTACCATCTGAATATGGTTGATCGTTTTTAGTGTTGATATAGGGTATGCTATCTCTGTTCTGCATTTAAGATATCTTATATTTATATTTTTAAAAGATTTTTTATGGAATTACGTTACATTCTCTCTCAATAAAGGAAAGCTGTAACAGTAATAAAAGATCGCTTTCACACCGTATTTACTAAAAATATAAATTAATGAATAGCAATATAATAAACAGAAATAAGAAATGAAAAAAAAAAAAAGTTAGGCTTAATACTATGTTTTAGGTAACTTTTAATACTTATATATCGATCTTATTACTCTAAATACATTGAAATATTTGTGTATTTTTAAAAAATTAAATTGCACCAATCAACCGTTGAAAATAAGCATTTGCTCATTTAAATTGATTATTTCATGAAAAAATAAAATGTGAGGCATGTGGAAATATAGTATCCAGTAGCATCTCTTTATTAGCTTGATTCAATTACTTTGGTTGTTGAAGGAAGGAGATCTCTCATCTAACACGTTTATAGTTTCCTCCACATATTTAGGTAATATTTAGTATTGGAAGCAGCTGCATATTTGTCGCAAAATTCCGTGTTGTCGTCCAAAGATATGGCAGATAATTTCTTCCTTTTTAGTAGCTAACATCTCTAAAAGCAATGACTTTATAGTAAAAAAAGTAAATGGATAGAAATTTTAAAGTTGAGCTATTTTTTTAATTACGAATTACTTTAATTTTAATAGTTTCACTCAAATTGTCAATCCTTATGCCTAGTCTGCCGATGTATCAATCCGTCACTGCTTAAGAGTATAGAAGGCTACATTTTTTCTCTCTTGGTAATCCCTAG